GATAATTGATGCTCTTGCATGCGTTAAGTATTTGCAATTTCTGTATATTTTAATATGTGAAACACAATGCCACTGGTTTTTTTCTGAAACAAACCCCCGCGCAAAAAAAAAAAAAAAAAAAAAAAAAAAAAAAAGCTCTGTAAAGTTGCGGGAACGACAGCTGTTCACTCGGCAGCCTTTCGCGCCCTGAATGGTTTTCGTTTATTGTTCGCACACAAAATATAAATAAATTGAAGAATAGAAACAATCAGCTGAGCGATTTACTTATTGGGGTCGTCCATAAAATACGTGACGCTGCATGAGGGTGGAGGACCACGCACTATGGGCTGGGGAGCCAAAAGTCGATTTTTTTTTAAAGAAGGAAAATCCGAAAACTGAGCATGAGTCCGTTATCAGGACTCTGCTGCGTCTAGAGACGTAAATATGAACTTCTTAAATAAAGCGGTTGATAAGATATCTCATCTTAAATGCATACGTGCGGGAAATCCATTCCCAGGGGTACATGCACGTGCGGATACAAAATCATTATTTACTTTCGATTTTGGGTGTTTTGCTCAAATTAAATCATGGACAATGAAGCTAAAGGTGTTTTTAACTATTTCTAAATCATTTTTTGATTTTTCTTCAATAACCCCCTTTCCCTGCGTCGTTGAATGCGACGCATATGGAGGGGATAAATTATCGAAATTGAAATTTCGCTAAAAGTTTTAGTTATTAGAATCCTCTGGAATCCTGTCAATTCTTGGATGAAAATGTTCTCCATACCCTCCTATTTAAAGGATAAAAAAAATCTTTTGCCGGTGTTTTGCTGGTTTGGACGTGGCGTTCATTTGAGTGGCCGCCCAATGAGAATCCTGGGTTTTCATTTTTTTCCAAATTGCAAACAACAACGTAGGTCTGAAGCTAAGGCGTCAAGATAAGTAATTCTTACGTGTACTGGGGGCGCGATACGATGACGTCAGGAAAATCGGATGGGTAAACACCATAATCACGTAAATGGCATCACAGCAACCCTCGAGACCGCTACCCGGCACTCTCGACATCGCTGCCCCATTGTCTCGCGCATACCTAAATCTGACCCTCGAAATTTCAACCGAGGATTAGGCAGCTCGCGAGTGCAATTTTTTTATTTTATCAAACAAAGTTTTTACGGTTAACATTTTTAAATTTGCGGTGAAAATTCGAGCAGATTGGTGGTCAAACCAAGGAAAATACGTGCTTCTGCGGCATCAATATTCCTTCTGCTGAAATTGCAACTTGCTGAACGACATCTCCGTATTATACATACAAATCGTAAAAAAATTTGGTTCATTGTAATCTGCTTTTTTCGCAGAATGTAAGTTTAAATTTTTAAAGTTAAAATTGAGGCAGATCTTAAATTTGTCATCAAATTTTTTGAGGCTCCAATAGGACAGAGGGAAGGGTGACGGATTGATGCCGAGCGATCTATTGTTTAGAGGAGACTGGCATCGGCCGAGGGGTTGCGCTGGTGTCAGTGTGTACTCGAAAAACCTCAGGTTCAGATATCATCGCACCGCGCCCCCAGTATAGTTTTTGGCGCTAAATTCGAAAAAGACCTCAGTTTCTTCTCTATACCCACAAATTTTTCGGGAAATTAGGATTTTTGGGAAATTGGGATTTTCCTCAAAAACGAGCTTTGAAACGGATACCAATGGTATTCCGGTCAAATGCCATAACCCGCCCATAGACTCCCATGTAAAATTGGTCCGTTTATTTAGCATCCATATGGACGTGAAAATTATGTTATTCAAGCTTTTACTGGGGGTACCTACTTTTTGCTGCCATTCTCGCCCCCTAATTTTATCGGCGATAAAATTGCAATATATCCCGATTTTTCCGTTGAAAAATGCTACTTACTTGAGGTAGATGGGGCGATGATCACACCTTTGTGTCATGCCTCGCGTCATCTGTATGACGGCGTTTCGATGCCGCCTTGAACTATACGAAATGCTAAGTTGGGCTCACTGGCGACTGTGATCTACCAATGAAGTCTCAAAAGACCCAAGATTATAGATCTCTCGGCGTGACCTCAACTTAATATTCCAATGCGAGCTGCTTGAGCTGAACACGCTCCCCCACGGTCTCGTACTGGTACTCATCATAGCTCAAAATTTTCGACTCTAATTGAAAGTCTTGAACTTTTTGGCTTCGTTTTCCGCGCAAAATGATATGGACCCAGCACCAATGGACCCACCTTGTTTATATGATACGGACCTACGTCACAAGAGCGCTACGTGTTTCCAAGCCTCAGAAATACTTACAATTGAAATTGGCAGAGATCTCAACGACTGAGTGGGAAACCAAATGTTTGATGAGACCAGTTGGATCCTCCTCAAATGTAAATATTTTTCGGATGAACTTGGTCCACGACCCCACGGCTAGATGAACGGTCCCCTACTATGTGGTTAAAGTCCGCGAATTCGGTGTAAAACTATATGTACAGGGTGTTTCAGACCACCCGTACCAGGCCTTTTTCTCGGTTGTTTTAGGTCGTACGAAGTCGGGGACCGCGGGGTTGAATAGGGAATTGACCCCAAGGAATCCGAATTTCGTAGTCCCGAAACCCCCCACTCCCCCTTGGGATGTAAAGGGGGGGTGTCACGAATTCACGATGCTAAAAGTCACGGTTCCCGACCGAATTGCGGATTAATCGCATCAGAATTGAAAAGCACGGAAAATTTCACGTGGAATTGACCCCTAAAAATCCATAATCGGCCCATCAAAGGCCCAAAAATGACCCCCTAAAGAGGGGGCCAGTACCCCCTCCATACTTTCTCTTTGATCTCAAAATTGACGCACATTCTCCAGAAAAAGATGGTTTCCCAGGTAATCGACCCCGAGAAATCCAAATTTCATGGTCCCGAAGCTCCTCTAGCCCCCCTTGGGAAGTAGACGGGGGGCCCAATTTTAAAAATCGGGGCTCCTTTCCGAATCGCAAATTGATTGCATCCAAATTGAGGAGCAGGACACATTTACATCTTAAGTAACCCCCAAGAGTTCTAATTGACCCCCCTGAACGGCAAAAATTAATCCCCTGGAGAGGGGGGCGTCGCCCCTTCAAAAAATTTCTCAAGATTCCTCTTTGGTCGCAAAATTGACGTCGATTCTCCAGGAAAAGACGGTTTTCCAGGTAATCGACCCCGACGACTCTAAATTTCATGGTCCCTAAGCTCCGCTACCCGTCCTTTTGGGAAGAAATCGTCTTTTTCTGGAGAATCGACGTCAATTTTGCGACCAAAGAGGAATCTTGAGAAATTTTTGGAGGGGACGAAGCCCCCTTCTTCAGGGGGTTAATTTTTGCCGTTCAGGGGGGTCAATTAGAACTCTTGGGGGGCACTTAAGATGTAAATGTGTTCTGCTCCTCAATTTGGATGCAATCAATTTGCGATTCGGAAAGGAGCCCCGATTTTTAAAATTGGGCCCCCCGTCTACTTCCCAAGGGGGGCTAGAGGAGCTTCGGGACCATGAAATTTGGATTTCTCGGGGTCGATTACCTGGGAAACCATCTTTTTCTGGAGAATGTGCGTCAATTTTGAGATCAAAGAGAAAGTATGGAGGGGGTACTGGCCCCCTCTTTAGGGGGTCATTTTTGGGCCTTTGATGGGCCGATTATGGATTTTTAGGGGTCAATTCCACGTGAAATTTTCCGTGCTTTTCAATTCTGATGCGATTAATCCGCAATTCGGTCGGGAACCGTGACTTTTAGCATCGTGAATTCGTGACACCCCCCCTTTACATCCCAAGGGGGAGTGGGGGGTTTCGGGACTACGAAATTCGGATTCCTTGGGGTCAATCCCCTATTCAACCCCGCGGTCCCCGACTTCGTACGACCTAAAACAACCGAGAAAAAGGCCTGGTACGGGTGGTCTGAAACACCCTGTATAAAAAATATTCAGACGGCGTTCTGGAACACTTATGCCTGTTTTCGGGGGGTCAGTTCGAGATAATGAACCACATATCGAGAAATTTTAACACATTAAAGGACTATCTACGTTTGAACTGGCGGAACTAAAAAAATGATTAAGTTTTGTTTTCTCTAGAAATGCCTGTGACATAGTACAGGAGACCGAAAAATGAATCGAAAAATGGTATTCTGACCAAATTCGCGTATGATTCTGTTGAACCATCTCCGAAAAATCTAAAAGAAGCGGGACAGTATAAATACGAATGATGAGTTGGACCGCGTATAGTAGAAAGGAACCAAGCCACACCAGCCATTGCCAAATTTAACTGGGCGATTTAATTTTTACAAAAGAGAGTTTGTTCGGATTTCTTTGAAAACCTAAAGGAAATTACTTTGCACTTTGTAGAAAATTCACTGTTTGCACGAAAACCCGCACGACCGTTTTCAGATAAAAATTCAAATTGCTCGATTAAATTTGGCAACAACTGATGTGACTTGGTTCCTTTCTGCTCCACGCGGTCCAATATTATACAAATCTTTTCAATGGATGATGATTACGAAAGACTTTAGAATATTCTTCTCTCCTTTGCGTGTTTTTGACATTCGGGACCCGAGATGGCAGATCTCTCTTTATAAATGACACCAGCACTAAGTGCAGGGAAATAGAGTAAAAAGGGAAACAGAGAGGAACAAAAAACTAACTCGGTATCCGTGAGACCAAGAAATCGCATAATTAAAAGGAAAATTAAAAAAATGGGTAAAATTCAGGAAGTCTCAAAGATTCCGTGAAAAATTCCGAAAAAGTATTAAGTTCCGAAATTCGGAATAATGCCGGGCCGTGGCAGCACTGTTCCGCTCAGGTCTGAGCACTTGGGCAGCAGAAGTTGCGTTGTTGCCGCTTGAATCCCAGAAACAGTACTCTCCTCCGCCTCTCCGTCTCCGACGGGATGAGTAAAGGACTGAGGGCGTCGCGTCGGGTATTGGTTGGTCAGCTGTACGCCTGGGCGTGCCGCGCCACGCTGCAGTACGGCATGCTTCGACGGACACAGAATCATTGTCAGTTGCCGCATGACCGGAATACCCGGACGAGTTTCTAGGGTGCTCGCTATGTTCTGGAATTCAAACCGGGGTCAATAGCCGCGCACAGGCCTCTTACTATTATTAAGTGCATCGCAGCTTTTGGTTTGACCGAGTGAGAGTTAAACTTTTTTAGGAACCTTCCCGAAAGTATTGTCGACCGCATTTTGTGCGTTCATGCTGGGTATTTTGAAATAACTGACAATATCCCTTTCGGAGAGTGTGTGGACCTTGCTTTGCTGTGCCAGAAAGTTTTAAAAATATCTCTGTTATTTTTTAAGCGTATTTCGATCATTTTCAAAATGTACTGTTTTTTTCTCCTTGTTCAAAAAATACTCAATTTTTATTAATATTAAAAACAATTCATTACTCCAAAGAAGAGAAACTAATACAGGAACTAATCGGATAACTATGAATACAGCCAGAAGTCATCTTTGACGCCACTCTACATCGGTAATTCCACTAACAATAAGTGGGTTTCACGTGCGAACAAAAATGACAGTAAATTTACATAATTCCGCAAAAGAGCTCCCTTGATCAATCAAAACGAGAAAAAAAGAAAAAATCAAAGAGGTAAGAAAAAACAACCAAAGGAAAAAAGTGCCAGCAGGCAATATGAAACATCAAGGGCGTATTCAAATATTTCTACGGAGAAATCAAAAGTAACGAGGACATCATTAAATAATAATTAGTTTGTCTCTTTGGTCAAAAACACTTTTCAATAATTCAAACTGTCTATTCATCCGTGTTTACCTTTTCTACAGGGTGTCCCAAAAGTCCGTACCCCCCCCCCCCCCCCCCCCCNTATCTTAAAGAGATCCATCTTCTAGGGGGGTCAAAACTTTTGTCCTCTCCTCAGAGGGGGGGGGGGCGGGGGTCAACTTTTTTTTTTCAAATGGTAAGCCCTATCTTGTGATACATCATTAGAAAGAGCATAAAAACTAAGAATTTTGGCGCAAACCGCAAATCAATATCTTAATTTTTGACCGAGTTATGATAGGTCAAAGGTCAAATTTGACCTACTTTCAAAAAATCATATCTCCGGTTCAAATTATTGTAAAGAAAAAAAAACGGGAAAATTTATCAAATTGTAAGCACTTTCAAGTAAAAAGCACAGAAATTACTTCAAACTAATTTTAAGGGGGGTTTCGGACCCCCAAATACGTCATTATAAAGGTCATACGATATTCTCGCGAAATGAGCCAAATTCCCCTTACTTTCCCTCTACATTATCTTAGTAAGTTCAAAATTACTTGAACATTGCGTTTCCAAGTCCCCAAACTTCGAACTAAGTTTTAAAAAAACCGGCGCTCCGCTTCGCTCCGCGCCGGTTTTTAGGGGGGGCTTCGCCCCCCCAAGCCCCCCCAGGACGCGCGCTTTGCGCGCGTCTTTTCAGGGTCGTCTGCACATCTAGTTTTTCCTCTTTTTAAGTGTCCCGCGCATCCACCGCGGGAAGGAAGTGTATTTCCCGAAGTGGGATTTTTGTAGTCATAAAATCGTACGTCAGTAAGTCATTGTGTAATCGATAGTTTTCTTCCAAAAACTTTCTTCACCTGACCCACTGTGCGACGCGCAGTTTGTCCAAAATCTTCCTTCCCCTGAACCACTGAGCGACGGAAAGCTTCTTCAAAAACTTCTTCCCCTTACCCACTGTGCGACGAAAATTTTGTCCAAAAACTTCCTCCCCCTGACCCACTGTGCGACGATAATTTTGTCCGAAAACTTCCTCCCCCTGACCCACTGTGCGACGAAAATTTTGTCCAAAAACTTCTTCCCCCTGACCCACTGTGCGACGATCAGCTTGTCCAACAACTCTCTCCCCCAACCCACAGTGCGGCCCTGCTCCGGCCGGCTCCCCTCATGCCGCGCACCCCCCGCCTAAAACTTTCAAAGCTCGCCATTTTTAAACGGCTCAGCCGATTTAGCTCAAATTCAATACCAAACCAGTCCTAGAGGAGAGCTACCAACCATAAAAATCTCAGCTCAAAATATTCATTTTCGCTTGAGTTATCGAGTGGACAAGATTTAACCTCCCCCCACTTTCGAGCCCCACCCCTCAAAATCTATTGCCTCAAATTTCAATTTTTTTTTCGCGGAATAGTAGTTCTAATGAGTCTCTACTAAATGCAAAAAAATTGGTCAAAATATCTTTCAACGTAAGAAAGATATAACTACTCAAAAATCGAAAAATCTTTAAAAGGCGGAAATACATACATACATATATACATACATACATATATACATACATACATACATACATACATACATACATACATACATATATATATATATACATGAATTTGAATGGCATATATTTTCGTGATCTACGACCCGTGATCGGTGCTCTTCACAAGGTCTCGGGTCTGGGTCCGACATCATGGGAGAATGCAATTAAAATGAAAAATTTGGAAAAATGGTTGAATTGAATCACCTTAAATTTCGTTTATTGAACTTTGCTCGAAATTTAAGGACCTGAAAACGCAATGTTGAACTAATTTTGAACTTACCAAGATAATGTTGAGGAAAAGTAGGGGGAATTTGCCTCATTTCGCGAAAATATCGTATGACCTTTATAATGACGTATTTGGGGGTCCGAAACCCCCCTTAAAATTAGTTTGAAGTAATTTCTGTGCTTTTTACTTGAAAGTGCTTACAATTTGATAGATTTTCCCGTTTGATTTTTTTCTTTACGATAATTTGAACCAGAGATATGATTTATTGAAAATAGGTCAAATTTGACCTTTGACCTATCATAACTCGGTCAAAAATTAAGATATTGATTTGCGGTTTGCGCCAAAATTCTTAGTTTTTATGCTCTTTCTAATGATGTATCACAAGATAGGGCTTACTATTTGAAAAAAAATTGGGGGCCCCGCGCCCCCCCCCTGAGGGGGGAACAAAAATTTTGACCCCCCCCCCCCCCAAGAAGATGGACCCCTTTAAGATAGAAACATTCCCAAAGTTTCGTTTTTCTATCTCTAACCGTTCAAAAGTTTCCAAGGGGGGGGGGTACGGACTTTTGGGACACCCTGTACAACTCCTTCTTCCCATAACGAATACTCACGAACAATTCAGTGAAATAAGTGATATATATATATATATATATCACTATATGACATTGTATGAGGGTGAATTCCCGTATATTGATTGGAGAAAATCATCTGTTGAGAGACAGCAGAGAGGAGAACACCTGAAACAGTGTAAAAGTACCCGCCCGGCAAGGACGGTTGCGAATTCGTTGCCGCAACGTTTTTTAACAATGTTTCGAAAAACGTTTAGTTGCAACGTTTTTAAAATTGTTGTCAGCACGTTGTGAAAAAGTTTCGTTTTCGATTTTTGAGTAGTTCTATCTTTCTTACGTTGACACATATTTTGACCAATTTTTCTGACTTCAGTAGAGACTCATTAAAGCTGCTATTCTGAGAAAAAAAATTGAAATTTGAGCAAATAGATTTTGAGAGGTGGGGCTCGAAAGTGGGGGGAGGTCACATCTTGTCCACTTGATAACTTGAGTTAAAATGAATATTTTGAGCTGGGGGTATGGGTGGTAGTTCTCCCTTAGGACTGGTTTGATATTGAATTTGAGCTAAATCGGCCGAGCCGTTCGAAAATGGCGAGCTTTGAAAATTTTAGGCGAGGGGTGCGGGGCATGAGGGGAGCCGGATGGAGCAGGGCCGCACAATGGGTCAGGGGGAGAAAGTTCTTGGACAAGCTGATCGTCGCACAGTGGATTAGGGGGAAGAAGTTTTTGAACAAGCTTTTCGTCGCTCAACGGTTCAGGGGAAGGGAGATTTTGGACAAACTACGCGTCGCACAGTGGGTCGGGTGAAGAAAGTTTTTGGACGAACTGTTCGTCGCACAGCGGCCCAAGGAAAGGAAATATCTGGGGGAAAAAACTATCTATTACACAATGGCTTACAGACGTACGATTCTATGACTACACCAATCTCACTTCGGGAAATACACTTCCTTCCCGCGGAGGATGCGCGGGACACTTAAAAAGAGAAAAACCCGGATACGCAGGAAAATCTGAAAAGGCGCGCGCAAAGCGCGCGTCCTGGGGGGCGGGGATCTGGGAGGAGGCAAAGCCCCCCCCCCGCTTCCAAAAAAAAAACGCGCCGGTTTTTTAAATTTCCATTTCCCTGGAGTTGGCGGGAATGCTGGTAAATGGCCCCCTCCTTAGCCAATCTGGATACTCCACGGACAGAATCTTGACAGCTTCAAATGCGATTTTTTAATTTAAACGCTTAGAACTTTTGTATAAAACCCATTTCTTATAAAAAATATTGTGTTATTTCGGGCAACGATTCCATGAGCTGCATATGCCGCACAGTGTATGCAGTGCGTTGAATGGTGACAAAAATCTCCCTAAAAATAAAAGTCGAAATTTTCCAAACAATATGTGGTGAACGTTAAGTGGTATATCTGGCAACACTATTGTCAGCGAAAGTATCGATTTTTATCGATACCTAGTGCCCGCACAGGTGGTCGTTATCAACCAGTTCAGAGCTCCTGTTTAGAAGCCGATTGCAGATGACAACAATGAGGAGCATTCTGATCAACAGACCTCAGTGCCATTTTATCCTTCCAGGCAGCTTCATTCCTACTGGTGAGCACTATTTATTTTTGATTTTTCCAATTTTTAAATCCTTTTTTTGGTGGCGAATATTGCATATTGAAATACTGCTCATTTTTAACCCTTTTTTCCACTTTCATGGAGTGGCAAAAAAAGCACCGTCAAACACCGAACTTTTGTGCACGTGGATATACAGGGTGGGCCAGAAGTTCCAGGACGGTCGGCTAACTTTTGAACGGTTCGAGATAGAAAAATGAAACTTTGGGATTGTTCCTATCTCAAAGGAGACCATCTTATGGGGGAGTCAAAATGTTGGTCCCCCCTAAGGGAGGGGGCGGGGCCCCCAACTTTTTTTTTTCAAATGGCAACCCCTATTTTGTGATACCTCACTCGAAAGACCATGAAAAATTAAGAATTTTGGCGCAAACCGCAGATCAATATCTTAGTTTTTGACCGAGTTATGATAGGGTCAAAGGTCAAATTTGACCTATTTTCAAAAAATCACAACTCCGGTTCAAATTATCGTAAAGAAAAAAATA